TAGCCCAATGTAGCCACTGGGCGCGTCATGAAGTACAATAACTCAATGTCTATGCTCTGATGGGTTTACTTTGGTAGTACTTTTAACCTTCCTCCTGTTCCTTTTTCTTCTCTTCTTCGCCATTCTCTTGTTTGAACCGGCGTCTGTGGTGCTTTTAGAAACAACTGTAGTAGCTATTACTATTATGCCCCTATCAACACGATTTAAACCATTTAGTAGACGAGTTTCCACCCTTCCTGTCAGGGGCAATCTGGGCTGAGAGGGATACAACTTCTCATCTGAAAGACCGAGATAGGCCACTCGATAAAAATTCTCTCCACATGGGAATTCAGCTGAAGTTTTTACAAATGGTGGAGAAGCCCCTCATTGCTACACCAGAGATGTTATAAAAACAGTTGAAGAGTTCAAAAGCAAAGCAGAAAGTGAGAAACAGCCTCATGTCACAGCAATCTGAGGAGAGACAAAAGGCAGAAAGCAGGTAAAAAAAACCCCCTCTAAACAACCAAAGTACTTTCTTTTTCAGCTTTTATTGAATTCAGTTTTGATTGTATCACATACATATATGTACACAATAATTCCAAGCTAAGGTAAAATATGTGATATAACCATTATGCTGTAAAATACTAGCAAAATCTGTACACAGTCTCTTCTGCCACTCATGGGAGGAGTAGCACAGTCTTGCAGCCAATGATGCATTCATTTCTTCTCACTTAAGATATTCATGGCCACTGTTTTTAATTACTTTTCAACTCATTTTTCACAATTTCAAAGATATTTTTTCACACAAATAACAAAATCTTGTCTAAGAGCATACACTGAACGTACAAACACACACACACACACACACTCACACACACACACAAGCATACACAGACACACATTAACCTACACATATCAACTGCCACTAAAAGACACTACATAGAAGGAAAAAAAAACCCAAAACACTGAATGAAAACTTCGACTTTGTTGCTAAAAATCAATTTGAAAAAAAAAAAAGGGCCAAAAATCATGAAACGTCTACCCTGACTTGGGCTGAGCTCGATTTTAAAAAATTGTAACTACAATTGTTTCCTCAACTTACAGTAAACGGAAATTCGAGTCACACTAACATCACATGCAGACTAAAAATGAATGCATTTACATAATATTTATTATACAAACACGAAAGGTACCCGCTCTGAGCAGAGAACTGTATTAGAGGACCGTAAGCGACCACATGGGTTTACCTGGAGCTACAACACTTATCCTAATCAAAAACGTAGTCCGACGATTACAAGTCACTGATCAGCAGCTCACACATCATGCCCATGATGACCTTCAACATGAACCTGTCCCGACTACCACCCTGCGTCCCTATAAAAATCTTCTAGGGGAACTGCTCCACACATTTGTGAAAAATCGTGGGGAAATCAGGTGCTCGTCAAAATAATGAAATCGAAGAAACAAGCACTTTTCAGTCATTTTGGCAATTTTTATCAAATTTTTGTTTTTTGGCTTAACACCACTGCTGTCCAATTAGGAACACATTTTTGGGTGGGATTTACTGAAAAATGTCGATTAAAGGCACAAAAAATGTAAATTTTCAGTTTCCAAGGACTATCAAGCTTTGGAAATAACCAAACTTTGGCTGCCATTTTCTCGCTAATTCTACTTTTCAAACCAGGAGACTTCACGTTTCTCAGTCTCAATTATCTTGACTTCTATTCAAAATAGATGGGCATTTTTTTTCACCCATAGCAAGGCAACTGAACAAGCTTTAAAATGAAACTGATAACTCCACATGCCCAAAAATTGACGAGCGCCCGATTCCACCACGTCGCCACACACTTCTCTATCAACTATAAATATAAATTAAAAAACTATAAATGATGATACATATAAGCACTTTTTAAACTTTTGAACTCATTGAAAGTTAATTAGCTCTTGCTGACAGAAACAACACCTAAACAACACTCCAACTGTTCTGACTGTGCCAAACTACGAGCGTAGACACAGTCTCCTATGAACTCAGTCATATCAAAGAGTGGCAACAGCAGGATGGATTATGTGGGTCACTTTTTTGTGGGGGTGAACATCTTTACTACTGCACATATCAACTTATGGTCGGCTCACAATCTAAGCATTTATGGACATATGTATGTTTGGCTATGATACCGCTCGAAACAATTTGAAGTTGCTGAAGTAATCCATACTACAATTCATGGAACCCCCCCCCCCCCCCCACCCATAAAAAAACAACAACCAAACAAAACATAAAAACCAAAAACAAAACCAACCAAACAAGCAACATTGCTAATAAAGCGAACCTTTTCGCCCCCCATATATTATTAGGAAAATACAACCCCAGGCAGATGGTAACAAAACTTTCACCCCCCCCCCCCCCCCACACACAAAGAAAACAAAAATGACTTAAAACATCCCACAGTTGTGGCTGAGCTAAGTATAGGTGATGCTACCAAGGCATATAAATTACAATCTTGACACTGAAACTGGTCGGTCACAAAAACACAACAGAACAAAACAAATCAAGAGTTCAGAAAAAGAATCATAGACTGCATAGAAATACAGTAAAGCACCAATGTGAAGCTGGAAGATCAGGGAACTGTCAACATGGCTCATTGCCCTGAACCAGACGATTGACATACATGGTTTATGTACATGTACATGCCCCCCCCCCCTCCTACACACATAAGCATACACACACACACACAAACACCCCCCCCTCCTACACACATACGCACACACACACACACACACAAACACCCCCCCCCTCCCCCAACACTTCAGCTCTTTTTATACATACACAATCAAATAAACTGCCCAGCAAACTCAAATCCATTTCCACACTACAACCCATACATTCTATTCAGATAAAGAAAAACCCATTTCATAAAACAGAAGGACAGCACACCCTTTTCGACAATCTCTCTCAAAGTACCATTACTGAGTAAAACATGAAAAAAAAGAGCACAGCAGTACAATTTATGATCACCATCATAGATCTATGGTTGAGGATTATGGTATATGAATGTAATAGCAAAATATCTCAAATGACAATCAGGAAAGCGGTTCATCTCCAAACCAGCAAGAATCACATATGTTCACATGCTCACTGGACGTCTACACCGAATAATGACAAAGTAAAAAAACAAAAAACAAAAGAAGACTTAGAAGCAAAAGTTCCAGCATCAGTGTCCTCGTCCTCACTGCTTGTGTGCAGCAGTATGAAAATAGGAACAATTCCTGATTAATATTCATCAATGGACAAAACCAGATGAGAAGGCCCGAAATCTAGGCCTATTTTACTACATTTTCATGCACCTTAAGACGTGACTTAACAACTCACCAGTGGAAAGCACTCAATCCTTTGGTCTATTGCATCCTGTCAAAACATAGATTATAATTATATCTGATTTCCTTGTAGGTTTTTCTTTAACTGTGTATTTCTTAAAACTAGTATTTCTCAGATCATTATAACAATATAACACCTGCTGATGTCTTCACGATCTTATTACTTCACAATTCTTCTTTTTTTTTTACATACAAGGCCAAAACGTCGGGAAAGATTATAAAAAAAAGTTGCCACACATAGCTGTAGACATACTCAGTCCCTACATACGATTATGATGGTCCAAAGGACAGGAACCCATGAACTCACACGGATACAAAATCAGTATCATCTGAGTCATTTCTAACCTGTTTCAAGGCATAGACTTTACACCACTTTTACACATTTCCCTTTAGAGATTCTATTCTTTACATTAACGTCCAATATCAAAGAAAAGAACAGAGGAGAAAACCAATGAGAATTTTCTACAGAATATCATATTGTGCTTCATCACTCAAAGTCTCTCGGTGGGATAGGAGAAAAAATCACAGACACCAGTGTATGTTCCTGCCACAGGTGTTCCAACCAAACCTGCTCCCAGGACCACAATTCACCAAATCAAGCACATAAGTAATTATTTCTTTGCGGATGTTCAGTCATTGCAGTGGGAACTTGTATCCCTTCGGGCCCCCATGGGACTGACCTCAAGGGAAAAGATACAAGCACATCTGTGACAAGACACAACTGTAGACATAAACTTACACAGCAAAGTCTCGAGTGACACAGAATCTTCCAACACACAGGAAAGAAGGCAACAAGGTCTGTAGAGTTTCCCAGCACAGACATGCACAAGGATACCACAGCAGAAGAAGAAACAGTTGAGCTTTTCAAATAGGGGCAAAACGGATACAGAACAGAACTGCCTGCTTGTTCAATGCAACCTCCGGCTTTCCATTACCTTAAATCTAACACTGAAGAATGGGTCTCTGCTTTCTTGTGTCTAGATACAACATTTTGCACGTAACATATTCACATAAGGTCTTTGTAAAACTGAGAGCATCATTCAGCAGTTTTCTTTACTAAAAATCAGTAAGTCTAAAAACCATAATAATTTTTCATAGTGCAGTTATACATTTTGTGACTTACAATTGCAATAAAATAATGAAGCAAAATATCTCTGAAGCCCGATATCAGCATTGATTTTTTTTCTTTCCATAGTGGCACTGATTAATAGAGATAATGGAAAATGAACAGTGAACAAGGACCAGATATTTCAATGTTACTCTTCACTAACAAAGAAAACTGGCCACAAAAGTTGTCACATTCTCTGTGCTCTATGCTATCTCAAATGTCGTTGGGTCTTCCACACAGAATGAGATTAGAAAAATCTGAAACAAGTCCATTACAGGTACAAATAGAAAGATCCATGATGTATTCTTTCTATTTATCTCATCTTCATAACGCATGAGATGATTTACATCAACTTTTTGTACAGGGAGGAAGTTGCAAGATAAAAGAAAAACAAGTTTGAATAGAGCCTACAAATATGACATTTATGCTTGGGCCAAAGAAAGGAGTACCCTAGAGTCCATTTTGTGCAATTATTTAGAAAAAAAACCAAAAGAATATTTGCTGAAAAAAATAGTCTCAAGAATAAAAAAACCAGCACAAAATTGAAAACCCCCAACCCAATTTGTGACGATGAAAAATTAAATTAAAATATAAAATGATTTTCTATGACTAGAAAAACATGGAAGTCTCTCCTCATGCCTACCCCCCCCCCCCAAACCAAACAATATTGGCTTTTTCAACAACAGAGTGCTCATCAGTCACTTTTGGTAGTCACACAGAAAATGTTTTAAAAAAGCAGAAAGAACTAAAGTACTAACATAGACAAACTGTGAACTGGCTGGAAGAAAGAAGTCAGCCTCTGCTACTCTCACAAGGAGCATGTCCCCCACAAGGCACAAAACAAGTCAACAAAAGGCCTCAGAACTTATGTATCAGTCCGTGGATACATAAAGAGTGGGAGGAAAACCAGGTGGGAGGAACGAAAGTCAAAACATGTCATAGAGTGAAAACGTGAAAGAGGAATTGCCACATTGCTTGCCCACAGTGAAAAAAACAACAAAATTCCATGTAATGGACATTATTTAGGGGTTCTACACCCCCCCCCCCCCCCGAATTAAAATAAAACATTCAGAATATTGAATATTTCTAGAATATCAGAAGTTCACTAGAATGTGGATGCCCTAACTTATAGTGAAGGCATGCCAACTGTGAGGGGATTAACAGAAAAACATTGTGACAGCAACAAAATGCGGCGCCATGCGGTTCTAGAGTCCTGCCTGGAATAAGGTCGAGGGTAAATGCACAACAAGCCTGTACACATAACATAAAGCTGCCAAAATGGATAGGGGCCAGGAAAAAAGAGGGGGATGAGGGGAAATCCAAGCAAACAATTTTCACATCAAAAGTCAGTCTCTTTTCCCTTCAGTGAGAAGGCAAGAACAAGCAAACGCCACGCACAAAAAGAACCCAACTTATCTCCACTGACGGAAATAGTGGAAGTGAGCGACACTGTTCACTCTAAACAAAAGATGGGAGCCCAAGACGACAAACGATGTGTCAAAACAGAGCAGACTTCTGCATAAAACACCTCTGGATCCATAACAACAAGAACAACAACATCACACAACACTCAGCACAAACATGGAACAGTATGACTTGTAACCATCTATGAGCACACAATACAAAAGTATAGATTTTCTTAACAGACACAAACACATCTGTGTACTAAGAATACCAGGACAGGCATATTGTGTGGGCGTGGTAGCTTCCACAAAACACCTCAGACTTCTGTCAGACTTAACTCATAAAACATAACATGACTGAGTATAGGACATATCTAGAGGCAAATGACTAAACTCCACAGGCTGGGAGGAAAGCAGACGCTGGACATTTCAAGTCAAATCTTTAAGCAGTATCTCGACCTCTGGATTATATAAGCAGTATGTACAATGAATATTTACAAAAAAAGAGAAAGAAAAACAGCTACAAAATCCCAATCATAACCAAGACAAAAATTTGTTTACAAAGCTGAAAACATTTCAAAATGCATTTCAAGTCTATGTATGTACATGGCAGCTTTGCTCATTTTACAGACTGAGTACAAAGAGAAAAAAAAACTTCAACAAATCAACGAATGAACATAAGTAAAAGGTTATATTGAGGTGTGGAAAATCATGCAATGACATGAAATTCATGAGCCAGTGAGAAATTCAAACATACTCCCTCACCTTTCCTTCCCCATACATTCTAACATCTACTCATATTTCTATACTACTTCTCTCAGACATTCAAGCAACTTCCAGTGAGCTCCAGATTATTGTTTCTCCAGCATGCAGTCTCCGACAGTGTGACTATCTCAGGAAAACACACTGTCTGAGACGCACAGCAACACTCACTCACTCACCCAATAACTTCATTTATTCAACATCAATGTCTGGAGATGGAAATCGGTGGGCCAAGGCACCCATCACCAGCATAAAAGAACTGAGAATCTATTGCTCCTGGAAGCAAATTTGGCAAGAACGTGAAGCAGAGATACACCAGACGCTGCTCACAGGGAAAACACCAACAGTCCGATGTAACAGCAAAAGGGAGCGTGTGAAGTCATCTTATGAAAGCACCAGGCTCTGTGAGCCCCACACTAGGAGTTCTTTCAGGTTCTTCGTCTTTACTGTACCTCCAAACACTTTCTACTCCTTTCGCTTTTCAACCACAGAATTTTTCTCAAAATAACTTTATACACTTTTCCACAGTTTCCTGAATTTTCTCACACACTGACTTTTCCTCTGACAACATTCAAACTTTTTTCTCAACAACTTTCCCATATCATTTCCAAAAGATTTCCAACTTTTACACACACGTCCATTGACACAAAATTTTCTTGAGCTGTACATTTATGTTGCAAACATAATTGTAAGCATTGTGAAGTTGTCGTACGCCTCTACAACACTAAAAATCAGATCTCGCAACTATCCAGACTTCTGAATATTCTATTGGGCGCCTTACTCAGTATAAACCCATATGCACACATTCATAGACATGCATCACCACAAATAATTACTATTTCCTGCTTCCTGCAACTTCATACAAATTCACGCTTAAAACTTTTCCTTTATACACAAGCAGATAAGACTAAGGTACATTAAAAGCTTGAATGCCTGTAAAATTCTTCTAAAATACTGACACATTCCAAAGTGGCACATGACCGTACAACCGTGAGAAAAAAGTCTTAGTTTAAAAAAAAATCAGTGACTCTTCTCTTTGATCCCATAGGGGTCATAGTTTTCCAGATTCTAATCGAGGGAAGTATGAACAGAAGCAGAATGTGCAGTGAACTTATTACGGCTCTGTGCTGCCTCAGTGCCCCTCCCCTATTTGTAAAAGACGGCATCACATCACTTAAAAGCACATGTAAGGAAAAAGTCATCCGCCAGTAGGGGCATTATGCGTACACACTTGGAAAACAACAACTGAACTTATGGCGAGTTCCTTCTTTGAGCCAGTGCTGAGTTCCTTCTTTGGGCTATGGTGGCCAACAGAACTAAAGATGCTGCAGTAGCCAGAGCGTGAAGCAGAACAGATGACACAGGGAAAAACTGGACCAACCTGACACGAGGTAAAGGCAGTCAACCCAAGAATATGCTGGCACCCCAGAGGAAGAAAGAAAATTGAGGAAAACGTCATTCAAAAGGTCACATTGTTGAACATGGCAAAGGGAAGAGTCCAGCTCACAATCTTTGATCATGAACCTGACAGCCCAATAAATATTCAATCCACAGCTAATGTCGAAAGCACTGCAAAGTACTGAACACGACACACACAGCATCCTTAGACTCCATTTTAAAAATGTTTGGTGGGTAGTTCAGTCTGCTTACATTCGAGTCAATTACGACCTTCTACTTCTTTTTCACCATCTGTGTACTGTTCTGTCTGCTTGCGTCACACTGCGGAAACACCAACATGGCACACCACAGGGGCAGCAACTCTGTATATTCCCCACAGGGTAACGAGTTTCCTGAGTTTGTTTCCCATCAACTGCTGGTGCCAAAGTTTTGGGCAGACACACAAGGCCAAGTTGTGTCCTGGGAAAACAAACCACTCTTTTGCACTGACAGCCCAAGCCGGTGCACTCTCAGAGAAAGTTCAGTGGGTAGAGAGGTGGAAGGGACAGGGGTCAGAGGTCAGAAGGTCACGGTTAACGCTTGAGACTAGCAGTTGGTCGTCCCTTCCATGGCAGCTGAGACCTGATCCAGCTTGTAGGTCAGCTTGCTCTTTTTGGCGAACTCATCATCCTCCAGGGCAGCCACAATCTGTGGTAAAGCAAGACGTTCATCAGTTTTCATCTCGAGCAACCCAAGTATCGTTCTTATAAATAAAAGCATAAACGGTAAACCATTAATCGTGACTTGTGGTGCACACAAAACTTTTCCTCTACATTTCATTTCATCAAGAACATGCTTCTTAGTTTGAGTAAAGATAAGCACATTGACACAATAATGGTCATTTTGTGCTGGGAAAAAGTAAGATAGACAGAAATAGCACAGGGAAAGTAAAGAAGTAGGACCTATCAGTGGCATCCTCCAACCTCCCGCCATCCAGATCATGAAAATCATTGACAAGACAATTACTATGACCATAGTGTGCTGTATTTGTTGAAGCATAACCCTCCAAGTGTCTAATACATAGCTTGTGGTGTCAGGGCAATCATATGACTCCGCCGTATTATGTTAGAAAATTCTTGAGAACAGGCAAACCAAGCAAGTAAAGGTCATAACTTAAACAATTTCAGAAAGAGGACTGTAAATAGGAAGAAGTACTCATTTGAGAAAGAGTTAAAATGTTTGACAATACACAAAAGGAGATAAAAAGAATTGAAATCATCATTATCATCATCCAGTGCCAGATCTGCGACAGACATCGGCGATCATGGTTTTCCATTCATTCCTTTGCTTGAATGCTCTCAAAAAAGCTACATTTCCCTGATCTTTCCCTGTTACTATTTTTAAGGATTGCGCTCATTTTATTGGAACTAGCCTTAGCCACTGTAGTTCTCCTTTTTACTTTTGTGGAACATTTGGCGTCAGATGTTATCATATATCCTAGATATTTAAACTGTTGGACTTGTTTGATCTTTTCACCTTTGCTAATGAGATTACAACTAGGGTCTGCTGCTATTTTGGATATTACTACGCATTGTTTTCTTTACATTCAACAATAATCCTTTACGTTCACTTTCTGTTATAACAGTATCTAGAAGCAATTGAAAGTCCTTTTCGGAGCCTGCTA